GATTTTCTGCCTCTGGCTCCATCCCATCTATTTACAAAACATGTGTTGTCTATCCTGATTTTTTTCCCTTCAATTTCCCTCCTCCCCTTATTCTCCAAGACACCTCCTTCTTTAAATTCACTCCATCTCTCACATTTAGCTTCCAACATTTCTGTTCTACTGACACCTCACAGAGGCCACCCACAAACATCATATTTTTTCTAGAGAATCTGAAAGAACCTCTCTCTGTTCTCGTGTCCCTTCATTGGTAAGCTGCCTTCAGCATCACTGATCTCATTCTCCTCTTCCCTGAATATCTTTTCCTCCCATTTTGCCTTTTACCATATTTTGTTCCTTCCTTTCGTAGCTCTGCATCCTCCTCCTTTCTCTTAATTGCCATTACTCTAGATTCCCTTGCTGTCCTCCCATTACATTCTCTCTAAGAGTATGTCTACACTACAGGATGAGGTTGAATTAAGATACACAATTTCAGCTATATTAATTGCGAAGCTGAAGTCTATGTAAGCTTAACTCGACTTCTGCTGCTGTCCACACTGGAGGAAGTCAAAGGGAGAACACTCTCCCTTCGACTTCCGTTACTCCTCGTGGAAGCAGGACTACCAGCATCAACCAAAGTGCCCCTCTCAGTTTGAATTAGCGTGTCTTCACTAGACCCGCTAATTCGAACCCTGGAAGATCGACAGCAGCATCTTCGATCTTCTCTGTAGTGTAGACATACTCTAAGTGATCCTAACCATGTCATGCCTATAATGTCCCAAATCCACCTTTCTAACTCTCTCCAGTTTTGTATCTCCAAATACTTCCTACCTTTCACCGGCAACCATCTTACCATCTTCGCCATAACATGTCCAAATCTGAACTCATCTTTTCTTTTAATTCCAATTTTCTAACTCTTGCTCACCTTCATCCCAATGACACCTTCTCTAGCCTGCAATTTTCCCAGTTTCACTACCTGACACCAACTTTACTCTGCCATGCCCATATTCAGACTTTCACTGAATTCCATTTCTGCCTCTAGATCACCAAATGAATCCTCCCTCTTTATTCCTGCCATTTAAAACCCTTGATGGCCATAACTTTGTTCTCCTTCTGTCCCTCTGAATCTCATCTCTCCCACCAGTTTATTCAAATAACTTCATGAAACAACTTCTTCTTATAATGCATCCCTTATTGAATCTGCCAATTATATTTTTGCCTTCTGTCACTTCAAGGACTTTCTCTTGTGTCAAGGCCCATGTACAAACCTACTGTGCATCTCCTGTTAGCCCCTTCATTTCCTTAAGCTTTGTTTTCTATACTAATCTTAAAGTATGAACACGTGGCCCCAATGGTCACCGTTCAAACCTAAAAATTGGACTTGGCTGAAGTTTCACCGGAGCCATGGAGGTCTTGACAAAAATCAAATGAATTTTAATATGCAGGGCAATGGCTATAAGTTATTTAATTGGAATGTTAAGGAAACGACTCTTTTATTAAGTGAAGAGGATACAGTGCAGGCTTTTGAAATCTCATGGAAGGCACATTTTACTTGCACAAGTGCAACTGATGAACTAGAAATGATCATGCTCCTTCCACCTCAATGCCAGTAATTGGGAAATCAACTTCTCTATCAAGGGTGTTTGGTCTGTAACCATGTCATTGGATTTTCTCAGGTCAGGCCTAGTCGGTATTTGGATGGGAGGACCACAGAGAAGGTATACTGCATATGAAGCATTTTTTTGTTTTACATAGCCAAGTGGTGCTGGAGTCCATAGTCTCCCCCCCATAAAACAACCGTGAAGTTCTTTCCACATTCCAAATCAGGCTGGCCAAATGCAAATACCTGTTTCCCCCGGAACTTTCAACTAGCTAAATTATTCTTCACCCCCATTCTAAAAAACACATTGGAGGCGAGAGGGGACAAGTTGGCAAAAATATGTCTGCAGCTTTTCACATCAGAAAGGGTTACATTCCAGTAATGGTATGAAAAAGTATATATTTCATCTGTCACTGAAATGTAACCTCTTCTGGTGTGGAAGGTTCAGATCTATGAAGGAAGCTCATGCTGTAACAGTATTTTTCCATATGATTTATTTATATATGAAACACATTTTCTCATCTGTCATCAAAAAGGGCCAAAGTAAGAACAAAACTTAAATTGTCACCATGCCTTTGTATATAAATTGCTGACATTCTTCCAGGTTTTTTTTTTCTAAAACATTTTAATACCGTGTGTCTTCAGCATGACTGTTTAAATTACCTAGTCTCTAAAGTATTTCAGAAAGAAAAATTGTATTGCTTTAGAGAACAAATCAATGTTGTTCTTTCATTGTTCTCAGATTAAAACCCCAACACCCCAAACTGGAAAAAAAAAACCAACATATTTCTGTAATTAAAATGAACAAACTTAAAAATCTTCAGGTTGTATTACTGTACTTCCAAACAATGATTTGTTTCTTCTTAAGCTTCATGAAAAGCTGCCCCATTTTATATTTAAAAGGCCAAATTCTACTTTTAAAATCTAAATACACCTCACTGCTGAAGCAAATGGGAGCCATTTTTGTAAAATGAAAGCAGATTTTGACCTAGAAATAATAATATACTACATTACTTCACATGGAAAGCAATACCAATATATTAATTGCTGCTTGGAGTAGGAATATACATGGCATTCACATAATCACACTTTCCTAAAAAGCTCTGTATTTTCACAATAGCACAAGTTTATGTTGTACTCACAGCCTAAGAGGGCCTGAAAGCCATAAGTGAGCACTACAATAGTTACATTGCTATACCCACACTGTTCTAAATATGTAAGCTATAGAATATAATCTTTGCATGAAAATGGCTAACAATGCAGATTTACATCTTTGAGCAATTAAACACAAGCTAATAGCTTGGGGACTTGGCAATAGCTACCAAGAGTGGGAGTGAGGGAGGCCCACCAAGCTGGTCCTAGAAAGGTTTTCATCAGCTCTTGACTGATGTTTCAAAAGAGAAACAATTAAGTTCCTACTATAAAAGCCATATGTTCTTCTACCTTCCTCTTAATCTATTTTTTTTCCATTTGTTTAATCCTCAAATTATATTGGAAGAATTTATATTTATCTCAATTTTACAATCATCTCAGTTGGGCATTCTCAGTGCTTGCCAACGCATGAAGACATGTCGAACGTACATCAAGGATTTAACACATAAGGAAACTATTGACCAAAATAATCCCATAAAACCCTTCAAGACATGTGTTAGATTTTCTATTGCTTTTTTCACCTCATAAAGACATAACATTGCATTAAATATACAGATGTGAAACAGAGGAAAAGTCAAGAAAAATATACTTAAAACATTGTATATTACACTGGACTGGATTAGTGACATTTACGGATACCCTGTTCCCACTGATGAGCCAGCAGGGGCTCATGTGAGCCCTTTCTTAACACAGCTAGCCTCTGAGCCCCATTAAAGTAATCTCGGCTTCTACTTATCAAAGAATGCCTCCAACTTGCAATGACAGCCCTAAAACTGTAAATGAACGGAAATAAAATCACACAGGACAAACAGCTGGACTCCTGTTCTACAGCATGGGGAACCAAATGCAGATCCTGTAAATGTCAGTAATTAAGTTTGGGGTATATCCCCAAGAATCATCTCACTAAAATCCTTCACCTGGTATGCTCATGGAACACAGGAGTAAGTTAAGTTTGGGGGAGTAGGAGGCAGGTAAAAAAAAAAAAAAAAGTTTCAGAGATGCATGCTAAAATCCTACATCCAGAAGTACTGGTGAAACTGTTCGGCCATCCAAGGAGATAGAACTAAAATGGCTGCCACTCAGACAACTGCAGGTGTACTCAGAACTGCCATAGCTGCAGCCACCGTAGTAAACAGATTTCCCTTCCTGCATCCCCAACCAGTCCCCCTGGAGAGCATAAG